GGATTACAGGCGTGACCCACCGCATCCAGCCTCTGGAATGTTGTTATTATCAGCAAGGATGTTATTCTACTCCTCTTCTTAGAAACATCTTTGAATGGGATTTGATCATGATTCTTTTCTGTTGCTCTTTAAGAAACTTAAAAATTAAGTAAACTAAATGAAATATTTTCCTGTACTTTTAGAAAGGGGGTATAAGCCAGGATAGTTTTTCATGGTTCTGGAGCTCCTCCTCCTGTTGTTTTTGCAGTAATAAAAGAAATAATATGGCTTCACACTAAGATCTGCCCCCTCCGCTTCTCTCCTCTGCTTTTGTCTGGACCTTCTCTCTTTTGCCTTTCATTATCCCTCTCTAGCGAAATGTGGCTTGCACTCCCAGCACTTTCTCCTCATTGTGGGGCTTTTACCTTGTAGGGAGCTTCACCTTTTGTTTTTTTGTTTTGAGTGTTTGTAGGTCCCAGGTGTCTTCAGCACAGTTAGACTGTCCTCCCGTATTCACTTAATGAATTAGATTCGGCAGAACTCTCTCCAGTTTGGGTTATTTCCGGTGAACATGTGTTGTTAATTTTGAGTTTCTTCCATTATCAGGGCCTGTCTCTTCTCTCACACAGATGCTGAGACGTAGCTCTTTCTCCTCATCCACTCTTAGTTAGGGACTCAAGGGGGTACCTTGTCATTTAGTTTTTATGTAGATAATGTTCATTGGTCTTTCATTTTGCTAGTCTAGTTGCTCTATTTTTATGGGAGAATTTGAGTTTCTTTTTTTTTTTTTTTAAATTAAAGCGGTTGGCAGACATAAAGATGCCAGACATAAAAATGCTTGTATTTTAATATTGCGAAGACTGATACTTTTAAAAACTGAGCTAGAAATTTAAAGTCTTCTAGGTAACACTGAGACTTGATGTCTGGGATTCAAGATGGAGATGGGTCATCTATACCCTTCCATGGTACTCACAAAAGGTTTATTTGGAAGGAGAAACAGGCTTTGTTTGGAGCAGATTTAGAGAAAGTGGTTAAGGGATTCAAAGCTGTTTTACATGAGAAAAGGTTAAAGGAAGTAAGGTAGTAAGGTGTAGGTTAGCTAAAACAAGATGTGGAAAGCCTGCCATTAAATGCATTTTGTTTCTGGGTAGAACTCGGGTTGAAGGGGTAAAACTTCCAAAGATACAGATTTGGGCTTAAAGTTAATAGTAATTTTCGGGCCCGGTGCACTGGCTCATGCCTGTGTAATCTTAGCACTTTGGGAGGCTGAGGCAGGCCGATACCTTGAGCCTAGCAGTTTAAGACCAACCTGGGCAACATGGCGAAACCTCATTTCTACAAAAAACACAGAAATCAGCAGAGTGTGGTGTTGCACACCTGTAGTCCCAGCTGCTGGGGCTTGGTGGCTGAGGTGGGAGGATCTCTTGAGGCTGGAAGGTTGAGGCTGCAGTGAGTTATGATTGTGTCACTGCACTCTAGCCTGGGTGACAGAGTGAGACCCTGTCTCAAAAAAAAAAAAAGGTAATTTTTAAATAATCAGCAGACTCTAAAGAGGGTTTTATTTTCCTGACAGGCAGTGATTCATGCCTCATAGGAAATATTAAGAAAGTAAACAATTCACCAGGTTGAGTTCATGCTTTAGAAAAGGCAGTTGCACTGAGTAGTCTTCATGTCCTAACCCATGTCCTATCCACCTTGAGTTTTTAGCATCAACTCTTGAGCTTCCTGCAGTTTAAATGGCTGGAAAGC